CCTCTAGTTCTAGGGAAGAAACTAGCTAATAAATTGGTAAGTTGAGTGTCATTGCCAATAGTAACCAATGTATCATCCTATAGTTCCTGAGCTCGAGTCGGCCTCCATTTTTTTTCTTCCTTCTGGTATAGACCTGTCATTCCTCGTCCGAAGATTGACTCACCTAATCAGTAAATTGGTCTAAAGTGTGTCAGACGTGTAGGTTGTTGAATATTAAAAGCAACAACTTGTTGTACCAGCTGATCTTTTTTCAGATTGATTGAGCATTATCGTGTGTCTTGGCACATAAGTGGGTGTTCTTCAATAACAGTGAGTGGTATAAGCACATTTGGATATGTACCTGTAGTATGGTGTTCTTCATCAGGAACTGCGGTGTTGGAAAGAGGATCGGGTTGCACCTTCTTAATAAGGATGGCAGATGACTGATCTTTAGCGATATTCGGCCTTAGATGAGGATGCAAGCAATAACAAATAGTAGAACTGTGACCAAACATACTATAATGAGAGCAATAAGGAGGTTGTGGTTCTATTTCAACATTTTGTCAATACCCGTTGTGAGTAGTGTCAATTCATACCTCATCCAAAGTTGGTTGAGTGCTATCTCTCTCAACTAACACACAAGCCACCGAGGCTCAAGTGACAGCAAACGTAGGACTATCAACCTTGAGAAGCTTATCGTAAGCAGTTGTCAATGAGTACAGAATTTCCAAGTTAAATAGATGTAATTTTAACCCCGAAAACTTTATCCAAATAGGAATGATAGGGGACTCTGCTTTTGGATCAAAATCGACAGTCCACTTCAAAATTTTCCACTTCAATCGACAGTCCACTTCAAAATTTTCATAAAATGGTTGTCGATCTTGATAACTTTTCGACAAAAAATGCGAGTGTAATTAGCATTGTGAGATGACTGAATAATGATATGTCGTCCGTCAAGTAAGCCGATATTCCAACTGTCAAATAGCTTCATAGCATCAAACTCTTTCCGAATAATCTCAAGTTTTGGGTGACCATAAATGAATTTTCCCACCAGAGCAAAACGCCAAGTGAATGCGGGAGTACTAGTTTCAACCTCAGTGAGAGTCAGAGCAGGCTTCCTTTTTTTACCAAGTTTTTTTATGAAAGTGTGATCACAACCATCTTCAAGAGCGTTGTGGAAAGATTGTGGAACATTGCAGAATTTGCCAATATAAAAACCAGACTCTGAATCTGAAAGAAGAGCACGAGTAGGAATAGGAAGTCGTCGGCAAGTGCAGTGGCATAGGAACGCATCGTCGAGGCCATCTCCAGAGCGGCTAGGTGAGCTGCTATATATATATATATATATATGTGTGTGTGTGTGTGTGTGGTGTGTGTTTGTGTGTGTGTGAACGCAATGACGGAAGCTAGGGCAAGGTCATTCCACGGGGGACGACTGTTGAGCGTTTAAAGCGACCTTTTGTTAATGTTTCACCCTTTGTTTGGGAGATGGGGTTAGTCGGAGTTTCGAGAAGGTGTTGTGCGTCGGAAGTCGGTTTTGGAGACTTTGAAGCTCGTTGTAGGGTTTCGATGACGACAAATTTGGGCGAGATTCTTCCATTCTACTGCTCTGCATTCCGATTGTGGTTTGCAGGGTTCTCCGCTGCCTTGACTTTTTGTGGTGTGATGTTCGTGTCGGGGTATTATTCTTGCCTCATCTTCTTTGTGTTTTTGCGGTCTTCTGTTATTCGGATTTCATGACAGCTCTCTCATCCACTTTTGTGACTGAACCTACTCTGAATGTGGGTAAACCCTCCTATGCTGCTGTGGTTGATAAAGGCCGTGCTCCTTTCCATCTCGGGGATAGTTTGGTTTTTTAGCAGATGTATCATGATTCGTTTGTGGGACAGGGAGATTGTAACTTCATTAAAAAAATAGGAAAAAGGGGGGCAAACTAACATTAATTTTTTCTAACATTGAAATTTCAACCCTTGTTGAAAATCATAAATTTACACTGATTGGAAAGTTCCAATTGGGTCACCCTAAGATTGAGACTATAAGGGAAGTTTTTGAAGATTTCAAACTAATTAGGGACTGGAAGGTGGGACTATTTGATGGAAGACATTTTATTGATACAGTCGAGCAAAGAAGAAGACTATGCAAGGATATTCTCGAAGAAATTCATCTTAATTGAGGACAAACATATAAAATTGTTTAAATGGTCCCCTAACTTTGATTCGAGTCAAGAACCTCCCATTATGCTTATATGGTTTAAATTATCTGGACTCAAGTTTCACTTCTTCAACCATCAAGTACCATATGCTATTAGGGCTATTCTTGGAAAATCAATGAAGTTAAACATATCTATTTTTAATTTTCAAGACCTTCTGCTGCAAGGGTTTTAATAGAGGGATATTACACTTCCAGAAGTAGAAGAAAGCTGATTTGGCACTGCTCACAATGGTTAATGACAATAAATCATTATGGAACAAAGACCTTACTACTGCAATCTTGTAAGATGTTTGGCCACACATGATAAAATGTTTCAAATTACACACAAAGTTGAAACCCAATATTTCAATGCAATTGGATATAGATAAGCCTATTGTTGAACAAAATGCAAAGGAACTATCTATTACTAAACATGTTAATTCTGCCAGTGCTACCCAAGTGGCAACTTTAGACTATGCAACTTTATTGGAACCTGTTGTTACTAATGTTAACCAGATTGATGAGCTGCCTCTTGTCCCCACTCCTAACAATGGAAACAATCCTACACAGCCTGATACTGCTTTCGATGAACCCCATGAGAACCCACCTCTAAGCAAGCCTACTGAGACTCCAAATCCCTCTCATTTGATTGTTTTAGATGTTCACCCAAATGAGTTGGCACCACTTATTGTTGTTGGGGAAGGTACTCATACATTACATTGGAGGAATGCCAATGCCAAGATCAATGTGAGTTCTCCACTAAAAATCTAATAAATGATTAGTTGGAACAACAAGCGGAAAATGAATGACAAGTTCAAAAATATTACAGGAAGAAAAAAGGAAATGCCTCACTTCCAGAATCTCCAGGATGACAGTTTGATCATCTTGGGTGGAAGCCCCCTTCATAGTTTGTTGTTGGACTTCATTCCTAGGACCAGAGGGAGGGGGAAAGGAAAATCCTCCCATCATAATTGACCTCCTCTACTCTTGCTCGGCGCTCTTCCACGATTTCACGAAATCTAATTTTTTTAGGTATAATTGCACATTCTGGGTATCTTTTTTGAGACTTGTATGTCTTGTCAGTGGGTTTCTAACACCCACTCAATAAAATCTTTGTATCCACTTTTCATCAATGAAATTTTTATTGTGGCGAATA